CTGATATCTATTTACTGTACGCCCAAAGCTAACAGCCCAAAACTGTTCTAAATAAAGCAAAATAAGAATAACAAGGGAAATACCAAGCAAAGGGTGTGTCTGCAGAAAAGTATACCACCTTACATAAGCAAGAGGTCATAGCACAAACAAAATGAATGGTTGTCTACGATAGGTCATGCTTATTTAAGATAATGTTGCTGTTACAGTGTTTAGGACACAGACAGATAATCTGTGTTTGGTGCTATAAAAACTACTATTATTWTTCTGTTTGTGATAGCTTTTTTGACGTTCATTATTTGATGGAAACTATAGTGACAGTGGAGTTATGGCAACCTGCAGCTTATGAGATAAATAAGTCTGTGGTTGGCAATCATCTGTCAGCAATCAGTGCTTCTGAATGTTTGCTCAACTCTTCTGAGTCCATCTGGCTCACCCTGTTAGTGTCATAATACACTTCACTTCAACTCACGCACGCTTAAAGATCTGCCTGTTGCAGACTGACACCGACAAAGTCTTTATTTTTTTCCAAATACAAAAGGGTTTTAGTGAAAAATCCAAAAATCCAAAGGCAAACGTTTTCTTACAGACGAAGTTTCTGTTTTTTTCCCCATCCTTTCGTACCACGATGAATCACTAAGCAAAACATAGTTGTAAATCATTTCGTGCCTTTTTGCCAAAAAACTTAAAACCAAAAAATGTTTGCCCCCCTGCTTAGCTGCTTGGAAAACTTACAGTATCATAAAAAAGACTGAACATGGGGAATGCAGGTCTTTCTCCGCTAAGTCATGGTGTTTGCGTGTTCCCAGGTAGCGGCAGCATCAACAGACTTTATGGCATTCCTCTTCGTGATTACACCGTAACGTGTTTAGACATCTACAGCAGGGCAGGATTACAACATCAGACACAAACACGGGCCTATCTTCTCATCAGCATATTTAGAAAACATCGCCATATCTCAAGACCTCACCCAGGTTACRCCACCCAACACTGTCAACATTACCCAAAGCTTCACAGAGGGATGTGGACGATTTGGCTCTGGGTGAAAGCTGGAGCGAATGCTCGACGGGATGTGGGTGTCTGCGTTTCCCTGGCTGCGTGTTTGGAGTTATGCATCGCGCAGATAAGAGACGGGGGATGCGAACGTGTGATGATTAATGATCAGGATCGTATCAGCGGCAGGCTTAGCATGTGTGTGGCTGTGAGTCAGGAGGAAAGCTTTAAAGGGATCCATGATTAGTTGTAACAATAGACTTTATTTGATAAACATATATTTTAACTATAAAATAAAGACTGTAAAAATACTGTAGGATGTTCAGTTTTTATAATTTT